CTGTTTGCTGCTGCCTTTAATTGAACCAGATTCAAGGATATTAATTTCCTGCATTTCTGCATTTTACTACTGTGTTTTATTTCTTACACTGCTTTTTAGTGTTTTAATGACTGTTTTTAATGTTTCAATGAATGTTCTTAATTGTTTTTAAATCTCCTTTTCTTTTGCCTTATGTTTTGATGCTTTTAATGGTTTTATGTGAAGCACTTTGAATTACCTTGTTGTTGAAATGTGCTATACGAATAAACTTGCCTTGCCTTGCCTTACATCCCTTCATCCCACGACCCTCATCCCTTCATCCCTTCATCCCTTACACTACATCCCTTCATCCCACGACCCTCATCCCTTCATCCCTTCATCCCTTACACTACATCCCTTCATCCCACGACCCTCATCCCTTCATCCCTTACACTACATCCCTTCATGTCGCTGTCAATTAGGCCACAGGTTAATATAATCAAGAGGGTTACTTGATGCAGGTGTTGCTGAGTACAGGAGCAACCCGTTTTTGGCCGTGTGATGATGAATGAAGATAAATGTTCTGATTTCTTTAGTCTATGGTTTAGAAAATGTACGTAAAACAGAGAAAGTGGCTGTGGTCTGTTTATGTTGAAAATGCTGCAATTGTAAGAAATAAGTTGCATTTATCTTTGAAACTGGACTTCTCGCTATTTATTGCACGCGTCTAAACAAGCAATCAGCCACCGTGGTGGTCTTTTTTTGATAGGCAGCGGGGTTACTACACTATGTACAGTATGTGCCAATATGTAGCAGAGTACACTGTTGTTCATTTTGAGTCTACCACTAGGAGTCACCAAAGTGAGATTTTCAAACCCTACACACAGCAGCTTCAGAAAAGGAACCAGCAGACATGTGAGACTAACACAGTTTGAGCTCAATCAAACACAGAACAGCTGATGTGGGTATCTGAAATATATTGTCTACTGGATTTGTTCAATCATAAGATGGTAAAATAAAATAAAAAATATAGTTGTCAAAACTTAATATTTGTCAATATAAATATAATATAGATAATATTCTGGATTTTTTAATCTGTTCTGCTGCTGAGGAGGGAATCATATACAGTTGTGTGAAAAAGTGTTTGCCCCCTTCCTGATTTCTTATTTTTTTGCATGTTTGTCACACTTAAATGTTTCAGATCATCAAACAAATTTAAATATTAGACAAAGATAACACAAGTAAACACAAAATACAGTTTTTAAATGAAGGTTTTTATTATTAAGGGGGGAAAAAAATCCAAACCTACATGGCCCTGTGTGAAAAAGTGATTGCCCCCTAAACCTAATAACTGGTTGGGCCACCCTTAGCAGCAACAACTGCAATCAAGCGTTTGCGATAACTGGCAATGAGTCTTTTACAGCGCTGTAGAGGAATTTTGGCCCACTCATCTTTGCAGAATTGTTGTAATTCAGCCACATTGGAGGGCTTTCGAGCATGAACCGCCCTCAACTTTTGTCTCGTCAGTCCACAGAGTATTTTCCCAAAAGTCTTGGGGATCATCAAGATGTTTTCTGGCAAAACTGAGCCGAGCCTTTATGTTCTTTTTGCTCAGCAGTGGTTTTCGTCTTGGAACCCTGCCATGCAGGCCATTTTTGCCCAGTCTCTTTCTTATGGTGGAGTCATGAACACTGACCTTAATTGAGGCAAGTGAGGCCTGCAGTTCTTTGGATGTTGTTCTGGGGTCCTTTGTGACCTCTTGGATGAGTCGTCGCTGCGCTCTTGGGGTAATTTTGGTCGGCCGGCCACTCCTGGGAAGGTTCTTCGCCATTTGTGGATAATGGCTCTCACTGTGGTTCGCTGGGGTCCCAAAGCTTTAGAAATGGCTTTGTAACCTTTTCCAGACTGATAGATCTCAATTACTTTGTTTCTCATTTGTTCCTGAGTTTCTTTGGATCGCAGCATGATGTCTAGCTTTTGAGGATCTTTTGGTCTACCTCACTTTGTCAGGCAGGTCCTATTTAAGTGATTTCTTGATTGAGAACAGGTGTGGCAGTAATCAGGCCTGGGTGTGTCTAGAGAAATTGAACTCAGCTTTCCAAAGATGTGATAAACCACAGTTAATTTATGTTTTAACAGGGGGGGGGGCAATCACTTTTTCACACAGGGCCATGTAGGTTTGGATTTTTTTCCCCTTAATAATAAAAACCTTCATTTAAAAACTGCATTTTGTGTTGTCTTTGTCTAATATTTAAATTTGTTTGATCTGAAACATTTGTGTGACAAACATGCAAAAAAATAAGAAATCAGGAAGGGGGCAAACACTTTTTCACACAACTGTATATGTATCATATATCATATCATATATACATGTATTTTGTTGGGTTTTCTGACAATGGAGGAAATAAATATTCTACATATCACACATGTTGGGTAAATATGACTTCTTTTAGGCCAAAAAATAAATAAACCATACAAAGAAAGAACAGTTTACCAGTTTCCCTCTGAATAACAGGAAGCACACAATGGAAGATAAAACTGAAAATAAATAGAAATGCCCCCACCCCCCAAAACACTGTTAACAATCAACTCAATGACAAATATAAATGTAACAATTATAAACTAGCCACTAAATCAATACATAACAAGCAGTGCCATCATTACTGAACACGTATTACCGTACCATATATAAAACATCTTTAATAAAACGAATGAACATAAGGATCAAATATGTACATGTAAACAATTCCCTTAACAATTGTTTTCAATTTCCTTAAAGCCAAAGGGTTTAGCATGATACGTTCAAGCAACAAGTAGAATAGCTTTATATGATAATTAAAATGTATGTTTTTAAGAACATCTTCTTGTATCTAGTGGAAACCATCTGAGCGTGTCAACCATTGTGCAATGACAAGTAAAGTTAAAGAACAGTCTCATACAAATCTACAGAGACTTATTGATGACCTTGAGAGGAAAAAAATATATTTCATTTTTACAGTTTCAGCATCATCCAGTATTTAAGATGAAGTGATATCTTAGAAATGTCTGGAGTGATTCAGAAAACACCAAAGTTAACAGTCTGTATAATATGAAAGAAATTCAGTCAAACCCAACTTTGATTATTTTTTTAATAAAATGTCTGGTGAGATGTGAAATCATTGATTTATCTATCAAGTATCACGGTGGCTCATGACCTCAGTATTTATAATCCTATAATAATATGATAATATATGGTCACCATAGGGTTTGAGTCAGGAGGAGTAGTGCATCAGAGTTCTGTCCTAAAGGATTCAGTGTGCCTCGTCCTGTGAAACTACCACCACTCATCTCTGCTCCTTATAGCTCCGCTGTTGTTGTTCCTTTTTGTTACACTGATGGAGCATTATGCTTTTTTAAATTGTGTTTACATGTAATACAATGTTATTTTGATGGGTTAACTAAAGTAAGGAATTGCATACTCTCCCCCTCTTTGGAACTAATGATCCACAGTAAGTTGTCACAGTACATTTATTTGTCCCCCTTCTTTTCTGTGTAGTTGTAGAAACCATAGTATTGCAGTACTGCACAGCACAGCTGCAGGAAGAGGAAACCGCAGTATAATAAAACCAGCAGGTTCCAAAGGTTAGACACTGAGGCCTGTTATCAGTGGGTGGGAACGAGGAAGTCTGCTGCCAGCTATACACAGCTAGTTAACCACCTGCACCCATTTCATTTATTGATGACATCACATATTCATATTCAGCTTTCCCTGCGTAACATGTCAGCTGCTGCAACAACTTAAAGTGGCCAGAAGGATCAGAACGTCCCACCTAACCAGAAACATATATAGAAATCATTTAGTAGGGTGAGGGTCACAGCAGAGACCTGGAGCCTGATCCAATCTCATTTACTGCTGTTGTCACAGCAGAAGCTCCTGCTTTATGACACTACCTCACTGATATGTCTTTGTTTATCCTAGAGATTCTATTTTGCATCGTACTGTACTCAAATGAAAGTTAAGAAAGTTTGAATGAATGGATTTTCATTTCAGGCTCTTCCTATCCGTTGTGCTGCATGTCATGTGTATGTGGTTGAGGCAGAGATGATCGATGAAGGTCAGACATTGAACTCGAGTAGTCAGGTTCAGGATAGCTCGTTGATCAGGCCATAGGACATGAACAAATCAGGTGAACGGTACCTCTGCAAGCATGGACACCTGGCCAATCCTAGCGCTCGAATGCCTCAAACCTTCAATAACTGATTTTAGATCACTTGAGACAAAAAGTTGTGAACACAACATTAACATATTATCACATTTTAAGTTGACTTGGCAAACTTGCTAGCAAACCGTTACATATTTACACAAACAACATTGTTATTTGGAGTTGTGTTTGTGTCACCTGATGAATGTAACATTCACTCTCCTTTTAGCTGTTTTGGTCGAACTCCTGGGGGAGGTCTCTCTTCAGCTGTTGCATGCTCCTTCCTTAAGATGCTGTTCACCAGCTCTCTCACTGTCTGCTGTAGAAAAACTGTATGAATTCACTTCACTGATGTAAATGCTAAATGGACTGGACTTGTTTCTCTCTTTTCTAGTCTTCCGACCACTCAAAGCTCTTTAACACTACATGTCATCATTCACCCATTCACATCCATTCATAACTGATGGCTACCATGTAAGGCACCACCTGTCCATCAGATCTAGCTAACATTCATAACCATTCATACACCATTGGCACAACTACGGGAGTCCTTTGGGTGAGCCACAGACTCCTGTTGATGTGTCAACAGACGGATTTGTGTAAAAACTGAATTATTTGTTAAATAAGTATATGTTTTGTTCAGGAAGGAGAGAGATGGGACTCCATAACTAGTAGCATACGTTCTAAAGGTTACATGTCGATTGTTATTGTATAATTCACACTCTGAGTGAATCCAGATGTTGTCTTTCCACTGGAGGAATCAAATCCCACTGATGTAAGATATTGCTGGATAATGACACTTATGTAGTGATGTGGCACTCACGGAGTACTGCACCAGAGATAGGATGGTTTAACTCATGATACAGTGGTGCATTGTTAGCTCTTTATAGGAACACATTAGATATATACACAAAATCATAACAAGACAGTTTCGTCACACAAAGCAGTCATCACATACATACAGATACATTAAGTCACAAATATGAAGTGAAAATATCTCTGATGTCTTTTGATCTCACAGACTGAATGGATGCTGCTATACTGATAAAAACATAACATTTATTAGAAAAAAACATTGAAATAAAGCTGTACTCAGCAACACATTATCTAAATATCATCGTCTATTTTTTTTTTGACAAATGTTTTTAATTGTCTTTTCCACAATACACAAACACAGGACAGAACAAGGCGCATCAAAAGGTACACAAAGGCACTTGGAGATATTTCAAATAAAGATATCAATGGCATGTGTTGTTGGGCGTTACTGACTGTTTCTCAGCAGAAACAAAAATAAAAATAACAGTAGAGGGTGACAGATATGTACATGCAGAGATAGATACATATTATACCCCACAAATAGAATGCTCCCACATTCCCTAATGTGACCAGTGAGAGAAGAGAGAAACGGGGAAGGGAAACACAAAAAAAAGGAAACATAGGGTTACAACAAAATCTTCCCCCTCCAGAAACTCCATAAATGAGCCCCAAATCTTTGCAAAGATGTTATATTTCCCTTTAACTGCATATGTAAGTTTCTCTAGGGCAAGGCACTGTATCAGTCCCTCTATCCAATTTGGTTTGCTCGGCCTGTGAACAGATTTCCAAGCCATTGCAATTTTATGTTTAGCTTCAAGAAGACAAAATATGACCATCTTCTTTTTGCTACTGTTAAGTGTACAGTTTACTGGGAAACACCCAAAGAGACAGAGTTTTGGACATAATGGTAGTTGTTCGTTGATACAAATAGATACAATTGTAATAATCTCTTTCCAGAAATCCTGAATGAGGGTAAGCTACCTTTATGTATACCACATTTAACACAAGCATCCGGTGTATTGGGGTACATGCGATGCAGTAACTCTGGAGTAATGCATGTTCTCATCACCCATTTATACTGGAGAAGCTTGAACCTTGAGTTTATTGTTTGGAGTTGACTCTGTAGACATATGTCCTGCCACTCTTCTAGTGATTTCTTCATTTAGGTCTGAACACCATGCATCGTCTATTATTAATAATTTCTCATTGAACACACCAACAGTAGAAGAGTTGAGCATGAAGTGGAGGCAGCTGAAGACGGTAGGGCAGGCTCTCTTGTCTGTGGGTAGAGAACAGAGGACACGTCATCATTAGTGTGTGTGCACAGACACAGTGGACATGAGCTGTGTTGGGATCAGACAGCCAGCTATTGTTGAAACTAAAGGCTTGTCTTAGTGAGCACTGAACTGGTTAATCATTTATCCAGTGATAAGATTCTTATCTGCCGCAACACAAGTCGTCCTTTCAGTTCTGCATTTAAACTGCATCAAAGAAAGAAAATGAAAACTAGATATTTTTTATAGGTAACATCAAAAACACAAATACATCTGAACATTCACTTGCATTGATATACAAGTAATAACAACAATAAAAGCTTTTGTTGGATCAAATTTAGCTTTATTTCTATAATATTGTGCCATGAGGTGCCAATGTAAAAATATTTATTATATATAAAAAATGGTCAAAGTGAAGTTTTAGAAGGGAGTGAGGACATTGTAATGTTACTGGGAATTTGGGTTTGAATGACCTGAAGATTTACAGAAAATATAATTGCACAGTTAAAATACATAAAAACGAAACAAAAGGTTAAACAATGATAATAGAAAATGTGCATTTTTGTGGCAAGTAAAGTTTTCTTTGTTGGAGAATTTGACCTCAGTACTTCTTAAATCCTGGCTGTTGTTACATGTGCTGACCTTGGAAGTTGAGTGACCAAACGTATAAATATATCTAAAAATGAGAATTCTTTGTTGTTATCTGACCGCTTCCAAAAATCACCATTTTAGTGGTACATTTTTGTAAGTTTCTAGTTCTTTATTATCATAAACAGTTAGAGTTACAGTGACGCAGGTCATTCTTAGTGTTCTCTATTTCCAAAGTCTAATTGGAATTTAAGACATAAAATAGTGCTGCAGTAAAATATAGGAATACAATATAATAGAGTTCTGTAATAATGTGTGTACACACACACACACACACACACACATGTAACTACATATACGTTACAGGTGGTTTTGTGTGAAGGCCTCACCTGTCGGCCTACACTATGTAGGTGAGGTCTCTGTTGTTGTGTGCGGCATTTCTACGTCACAGCTTGCCACTGATGAGACAGTACTATGCGGGGTATCCTCCTGTGGGGTCATCGTTGCCATGGCAACGGCCACCTGCTCCACCAGCGTTGGCGCCCCGGCTGACCTCTGCTTGCGGTCCGCGCGGGTGCCAGACGGCGCTCCGTTCCTCCGGAGCGAGGTCCTGATGCCGCTGGACACGCGGCTGGAGAGGCGCCTCACTGCGCCGCCGATGCCGCTCAAAGCGCCCTTGTCCTTCTTCAGTAACCCGACATCATCCTCAAGCTCCGCCGGGGGAACCTCAATGTTCCCTGAGTACCAGAACACCCACCAGATGAGGCTGAGGAAGATCACGATGGCTCCCGCGTAGATGAGCAGGTCATAGAAGAACACGTTCACGAACACCCCGATGAGAAGCACGAGCAGTCCCACGATGTCAAAGGCTACCGCGAGCCAGAAACAGCACACACAGCGACCCAGACCCCGGTAGACCGGCTCCATGTCAGCACACAGTAGGCTGACGGGACGCTCCGACAGTTAGCGCTTTTCTCCCGGAGCCTTTGTGCCCTGGCATTGAGTTTCCGAGCGCTGTAAGGTGAGTCAAGTGAGGCGCTCAGCCTCGCTCAGGACAGGTAGTGTGCCGCACACTCACAGAGGAGGGGCGTGGTGCCGAGGGGGGAGGGGCTCAACCCCTACCTGGCCGGTGAGGGTTTGTGATTCAGCAGCAATTTGAACAGGTGAGTGTAGCCGAGAATGTGTGCTTGTTCAGGCCTGGTCTCCTTCTCCTCTGACCGTTCAGGACACACAGAACTGTCCCCAGGACAGGGGACCGTACATGTCGTCCCTATGTCTCTCTCCCTCATTTCCTGTCTGTCTGTTATCTCAGCTGTCACTATCAAATAAAGACATAGGTTCAAAAATAATACATGGTTATCATCGTGACATTTATATTTCTTCACAATAGTAATTGATCTCTCTTTGCAAATGTGTTCATTTAAATTTGATGTGCTGTATAGATTATTTCTAAAATGATATAAGCAATTAGACAGCTGCACATATTACTCATATTTGTAGTTACTGACCTTAGTGTTGCTATCTAGCTGTCCTCAAATGATCTTTTTTTTACAAACCAGGATGTACTCTGATACTCTGTGCTACATTAATACAGTTGAATCAAATATAAATAATATTGTATCATGGAACAGAGAGTTATTGTGTCCATCAGCTCCGTATAAGCATTAATGGGGGTTGGTATCGAGCGTCAGTGGTTGAAGACCTAAGCTGCTCTCCACTGTTGAATCAACGTCAAAAAACTGAAAAACAGGCCACATTTACACACTTGTAGACATGTTGGCATCCGTGTATTGTTGTGGTATTTGTTGAGTATTTTCTGTTGTATTTCCATTCTGCACACAGACAGATGGTCTGTGTTCATCCGCCGGTCTTTGGCCTGGAGCCACAGCCCCAAACTGAGGACTGTGTGTGTTTATGTGTGTGTGTGTGTGTGTGTGGGGGGGGGGGGGGGGGGGGGGTAGTTTGGGTGGTCTGCACCAGCGGCCATGTTGATCTGAGAACAATCAGAGATGGATATGTCCAGTGGCATTGCTCTGCCTCAGTAATCCGGTTCTAAAGGATTTACACAGCCCACCAGCAGCCACAGCGGCTTATGGAGAAGATGACAAATAAATAAATAAAGTAGAGCAACAGCCAACCAGGATACAATGAGACAGATGGTCAGCAGAAAATGACCCGCGTGGGACGGCCTGTGTGACATATTCGTCAAATGAAATAGAGAAAATGAACACAGGAGATATGAGATCTACAAACAGGGTTCTCAACCTTTTATAACTTAAGGTCCACTTGTGATTGTTAAAAATATCCAAGGACCACCGTCCCAAATAATTAATAAAAACAAAAAAAAACATGAGAAAATATAATCTGTAAACATGTGTTATGTAATGACCAAAATAAATATTCTGTTGACCCTCACCGCACCTGCCTGTCATTATGAATCCATATTTAATGTATTCAGGGTCCATTCATCGGAGAGAACGTTAGCAGAGACACGTTTGTCTCTAATGTTATGATTGGAGTTGTGATATTCAAATGGAACTGCTGACATTTTGCTTTGTTTGAATTAGTATCTTTATAATTCTTGAGAACATTTAGATATAAACATAACTTTGTACATTACTAAAGACATTTTATATATTTTAATCTAACCATTTGGCAGTACCTCCCAGCTGGCCTACAACATGAAATCACTTTAAGACCTGCATGGTCTTCATATGTAGAGGTCTTCATTTGGTCTTCATTCACACTTTGTCCCACAGGGACAGCAGTAATAGTGTTTAATATATTAAAGGTTATTAAAGGCTCCTTTAAAAAAGTCTTTACTGCCTGTTTCAGTCCCTTTGGTTAGAAGCAGTTACACTATACCTATAGGGCTTCTCTGGTTAGTTTGGGGACTCTGAAAGGCCTGGTTCCAGACCTCTGATCCACAGCTTTAACCAGTGGATCATCCACTGGTTAAAGCTGACCTGTGTTCAGTCAGCTCTGCTGTGCTCATGGACAGCTGTGTCTCTGGTTGGAGAGACAGTTGGCCAATCAGAGCTTTGTTAGCAGTATTAAGAATGAGGACGTCATCTTCAGTCAGAGTTGAAAAATGTCCATAAAAACTGCATCAAGTGTGAATAATGGGGGAGACTGTGGCTCAGTGGGGGGGCGGGTCGTCCTTCTATCAGAGGATCGGCGGTTCGATCCCCGGCTCCGCTCGTCCATGTGTCCTTGGGACACTTAACCCCAAATTACTCCCGCAGGCTGTTCCTGCAGTGTATGAATGTTATGGTCCTGATGGGCAGGTGGTACCTTGCATGGTAGCCCTGTCATCAGTGGATGAATGGGTGAATGATGTCATGCAGTGTTAAAGAGCTTTGAGTGGTCAGAAGACTAGAAAAGAGAGAAACAAGTACAGTCCACTTACTATTTACCATAAGATGGATCTAGCTGAACAACACATAGAGAGATCACTTCTCATGCTGATCTGACACAACAAACATTGAGCTAGCCAGTCTGTCAAACATGTTTCATTCATCATGCAAGGTATACATGTCTGTACATGCCCAGTGTTAACGGTAAAAGCGTGAACGTTTCTGTTTGATCTCCGCAGTGGTGACCGATGGTTCCACGCCAGGGTTTACATGACCTCTTACACCTGCTCAGGCTGCACCCCCCTCGTATGACCGTCTACAGCAGGGGTGCCCAATACATCGCGGAGGTAGTGCGGGTAGATCGCATGCCATTCAAAAGAAATTAGATGTCCTCATGGCATTTGCCACTTTGATTTTCTGCGCGGTCAACCGCGCGAGCTACCCCAAAACTCCGGCGAGCTAATTAGTTAGCCTTCCAATTTATTTCTACTAAAGAAGCTAAAGCTGCAGCGCCATGATTTGGGAAACTTCCAAAACCTCGCGTCAGAGCTGGAGACGCAACGGAAGGCGCGCACAGTGCGCGCTACACAGAGCAGATTGACAAGTGTCTGTCAGAGTTTGACAAACGCTTTCGAGACTTTGCTTTACTCGAGCCAGTTGCTACATTTATGTGCTGCACATTTCGGGAAGATATTGAGGTTGATTCACTCGCATCAAAAATTGCAACGCTGTTTCTCCTGAACTCGTCTGGAGTGGAGGATGAGATTCTGACACTGCAAGCTGACATTCAGCTGAAGTCCAGGCTCATGGACAGTTTTCTCACAGAGGAAAAGTACCCAAACATGAGGACATGTGATACCTTCTTGACTGCATTATTCGGCTCTACTCATTTATGTGAGTCAGCCTTTTCCCACATGAAGAACATTAAGTCCAAACACCGTTCCACCATGACTGATGATCATTTGAAGTCTGCTTGATCATTTGAAGTCTGAATATATATATATATATATATATATATATATATATATATATATATATATTCAGCATTTTTAAAGTAGGTAGATCATTTTGACTTGGTCATTTTAAAAGTAGCTCGCAAGCCGAAAAAGCCCTTGTCTACAGCATGGAAGTCTGGCTCTGATGGTCCACCACTGACGGCTCTGCCTTTGGTATGTAAGAATTTAATACCATTTCTTACTGGTCTACTAAACCTCTTAATAACAAAGATAAAGTTTCACATGTTCTATTGTCAAATGGAATAATAAAGATAAGAGTATCAGTAGTAGTCTGAAGTGTTCGCAACTGTTTATTCCAGTTTAAAGAGTGGAGAGGAGGCCAGTAACACAGGGCTGTGATATCACAAGTACAACAAAAGAAAAGTCTTGTCACTCTGGTCTCACTATAAACCACAGGAAACGAGAACTGCTTTGAGACACCAGTCACTAACTTGTTAAGATGCAATGATGTTAAAGTCTAACATGTTTGTAGCCAACTGGCTGGTCTACCAAACGCCGCTGCAGCTTCCAGGTCAACTGCAACAAACAAATACTTTGAAGGCTTATTCTATTTCTACTTATTTTTAGTCTAATATGTTCATTATTTCCTCACCAGAATGTTATTCCCGGCACTGTGCAGAGTTGATGCTCAAGAGAAAACCCTTTTCAGATAAACGTCAGGATTAAGTATTGGTTGTTCATCGTTAGGCTAAATGAAGCATTTTAAAACACAGAGGTCTATAGGACACAAGGTGTTCACAGGACAGGGAGATAATATGTTCTAACAATCTAACAGAAGAGTCAGCTAAATAAAGAAAAAAGAAAAATCCATTTTGTAAAATATGTTTTTATTCTTCATGACCTCAGTATTTCTAAAATCCTACGTACCCAGACTGATTAGCTTAACAAACAGAAAACGGCTTGTCGGGATCTCGATGTCAGACTGATGGTAATCCAGACAAATCCAAGTTAAGAATGCTCACTGAGGCCAAGACATCCTGACTGTTAGTCCCTGCTATGGGTCAAGCTCCAAAACCACCAGATCCTACACTCCCACAGAGTGTGACCTCACACTGTAGTTCACATCACTTTGTGCTTTCAGAGCAGATGGTTACTGGTTCAGGGTTCCCCATCAGTGGAGCTTGTGCTCCACCTGGTCCCCCTTGCCATGGTTGACCTCAGTGAGTGGCTGTTGCTCCAGGCTCTGTTTGAGCACAGGGACCCAGACCAGGCCGGTGACCAGGAACATCAGACCCACAAAGAGGAATAGCGGCCCCAGCAGGTAGGGGACATTGCCCACCTGGGTGAAGGAGAGCAGGGCCAAGGTTGTTCCCGGTACAAACAGCAGCGCACCAACACTGATGGCCACGATGGGCTTAAAGTAGAGGAGCCAGCAGGATGGAACCAGACCGCCCTGACAGCCAGGTGACTTCCTGTCCAGGAGAGGGTTGAGAGGTGTGGAGGCTTCAGTGTCCTCCCCATCCATGGTTGATATAGGGACTGATGTGGAGAGCATGGTCACACTGGGGGACACTGCAGAGACTAGATGCACAACACCACAGATCACTCAGTCTGATAGGTACAGAATGCATTCTGGCATTATTCTACATTTGGATTATTGTTCACAAATCCCATGAAAAGACCACACCAATACTGTCCCCACCCTGTTTGTGTCTCAGTCCTAAACCCATCGCTTCCTACTGAAGATGCCAATCTTTACACTTTATGTAGTTGCTCAGTCAGTCCACCACTTTGTTTCATGCTGAAATATCCAAACATTTGGATAAATGTTCCCCTTAGGATGAATTGTAAAAACTTTATCAGATCAACGTTTTAATGTGTCCGATACTTTGGTTTATGACCAAACACCCAAGAACTACTGACGTTCCCATGAGCTGGACTCTGTTCACTACTAACTATCTAATGTTAGTATGCCAACACATGAAAATAAGATGATCTTGGTAAACAGCTGTTAAATATACATTAGCATTTAGCTCAAAGCACAGAGGGTCTTAATGACCAGTTTCCACATAAAAACGTGTTTCCATGTTGAAGGACAGCAGAAACAATGAGCGAGCCAACAGCTGGTGGACGATGTAGATGTGGATGAACTCTTCCTCACCAGCTCCAATCACTGCACACACTCACTGTCCTCAGCTGTAATAATGGACTGAATATTGGCTGAATTCCATTTAGCTGCCTCAGTTTCAGGGTACCGGTGTTCTTCATGCATGTTCACGTTGTCATGACTTGCAGAATAGAATGTTATTGGAACCTGCTTCTTCCACTACGACGGTCCAAATGTCTGCTGATAAATAGATCTGTGGAGCTCTAGGACAACAGAATGAGGTCGTCTGTACCACACTCTGGATACAAACACATTACGTGTTAGTAGGACACATGCATTGTTGGTTTCATGGGATTTGTAGTCAATAGAAATATAGAATAGATATTTTATAAGAAGCACTGACATTTTTTTAAAAATAGTTTTCTATTCTAGTTGTGATGAGATGAGACTTTTCAGGAAACCTGTTGCAAAACTAAATAGAAAACATGCAAGAAGCCTGAACTTCAGTACAGAAACCATCATCTAGCACAAAAGCAGATTCAGCATGAACGACGACGGCATCTCCTCAGTCTGACAGAATAAATCCATAGTGATCCATAGTGAGGATTCATGTGAACGGTCAGAGGCATTTAATCCAGCATCATGTCATCAGCCACATCAAATAAACATACAAGTATACAATGACAAAATGTTGAATAACCGTCTGCATCTTACCTAAAGCCCATCTGTGTCTCCCTGCTGGACCGGCGCTGACAGACTGACTGACCCCCCCTCCCCTCCATGCAGGCTCACAGCATCACACTGTAAACCTAACCACTCCTCGGTGCACAAGGATTAGTGGTACTCATAATAAAAATCATTTTCTTTTCATGTAAAAGTAGCAATAAAACAATATAGAAATATTTCATCACAAGTAAAATAAAAAAAGCCTGCATTAAAAATCCTACTTGACGTGACAAAAGTAAAAAATACTTTAATCTTTAACGTGTGTTGTATCCAATGAGCAGAATTTGTTAAATCTTAACCTTCAAAGTACTGTAATTAAAAACTGAGCAGCCAGATAAAGGGGGTGGCGTAAGAAGTAGAATATTTACATCTGTAATACAAGTATAAATTATATGATGTAAATACTCCTTCACGGTACAGTACTCGAGTAAATGTAATTTTAGCAATTTCAAGAACACAGATGGAGAACAAAGTGATAATAAAGTTGGATATAGTTAAAGTCATGAAAAACATCCCAACTCCTCACACCTGAACAAACAAAAGAATCATACGAGTCATTGCTTTGAGAACAAAAGGGATTTTCCTGAAAACTAATTTCTAAAAATTGGGACGGACTCTTAATTTAACCACTTCTCCATTTTAACAAAATCTAATGAAATCTTTGGTAAAATACAAAAAAACATTGCGATTAATATAATAAACAGCTGCATTCACCTTCATTTCAAATCCAATAGGTTGGTTTACCTGCTCAGTGCACTCACGTAGCTGCACACTCTTTGAGTATTGGAGTACTGGATCTTTGAGTATTCTCTGTACAAGTGTGGTTACCACGATGGTACAGGAGAAAACAAAGGTGCCGGTGCTCTCTGCTTCTAAATGATCCGGCTCACAGAACAGACCAACGTACTGTTGCATGAAAGGTTGTGAAAATACTGTTAATAACTGTTTGAAAAGCAACTTCCAAAATAAAATTCCTTATTTTCAAAAGAGTATTTTAAGAATACCATTGTTCACCAACATACGGCCTGACAACATTGAAATTGGTGCTTTGTGAAACCACAACTTTAACAAAGGAGATATGAAAGCAGCCACTGGACTGTGCTCTGAAAATTAACACACTTTGTTTTCCCAATTTATAATTTTATTGTCATAGTTGTTTGCTTTAATAACATTTGAACACGCTCAAGCACACTGCCAGAACGCCACGAGAAACCAAAAACTGGGTCAAAGGGAGACATGTACACCCAAGATAAACATTTTGGTTTCAACTGGTTAAGTTCTTTCAAACCATTTCTTTTGCAATTTATGTCTGAAAATCATCCTTTATATTCCAAGCAGAATCCTGGTCCACATCTGTTTACAGATATAACTTCTGCCATTTGTCATTGTCATTTATGAAAGCAAGAAAAAAAAGTGGAAGAACACCCCTCATGTAGGGAGGTGGGCTAACCCAGGAATGGCATAGCTGAGCTCTCAATATGAGAAAGCTGACTCGTGTGGACTTCATCTTGGTGTGTCATTTGCTTAAAAACAGGTTCTTTTTTTTCCGAAGCTGGCCTTCGGCACAGAAGAGGGGGCGTGACAGGGAGGTGCCGTCGCTGCTGACAACTGTGTGGTCGGGTTGCGACCGAGCTCCGCCCATTCCTTCTCACTCGGACTCTCAGGCAGATCCGTCCTCTTCAGTCCCGCTCAGCTACCAGCTTCAGCACCTTACCGATGGCGATGGTCTTACCTGAGACACAGAAAACAAGCCTCACATTTGTCTCTGCCTCACTCACTGATGCTCAACGGAACTTAAATCTAGTTATCAAATCCTTATGAATCGCTCATCAGGTTCACCTTTCAACATTTCAGAGTAATTAAAGACTCAAAGATCTCTGAATCCTCTCTGTTGACACACTCCAGCTCTGAGCCTCATTAGTGTTCACAACCAAGCGGAGAGCCGAACATTTAGAGTGGTAATGGTATACCGTACATCACAGTATATTCCCTTCAGAATATAATACTGTTTCTGATGGGAGAGAACTGCTATGATAACTACATGGCTTAACTTTAACCAACAACAAATGTAATAGTTTTCCCTTTACTAGTTATTATTTATGGGTGGAGCTGCTCACTGTGATGGAATGACTTACAATACAATAAGTGTGATCACTTATTGTATTGTAAGTCATTCCAATGTTCACAGAGCCTACTCCCTCTCTGTGTTATAGAGCCAGCAGTTGTCTTTGACAAGATTTGTATCCACAGAATATTTACATTATGATTATTGAGCATCCTGTGAACAAAACAAATCCAATGGAATTAATCTATTCTGTCTCGTCTGGCCCTCATGATCAATACTGTGCTATTCTATATTGGGTTCATTTCTGTAGGGAGTTGCTTCTATGGAGTCAGATTAGTCTCAATATTAATGAATGCAAACATAACACCCCCTCCAAAAAATGTATAAAAATAATTATATACACACATACATATATACACAGTTGTGTGAAAAAGTGTTTGCCCCCTTCCTGATTTCTTATTTTT